CAAGCTAGCAAATTACCCCAATGTACCTCGCAAGACAAATGAAAGAAGAATACACAAATGAGCGTAGATGCCGTTCAGAAAATAAATGCAGGTAAACAAAATAATATAACTGACAGGAAATTTAAGAATTGCATTTGTATAATATATGCATGTAGTAAATACTGAACATCAAGAGAAAATATCAGCCTAACCTATGACTATAAGTCGTGTCCTAACCAAACGGGTCTAAGGTGTGTGTAGGCTGTGTAGTTTTGGATAGGTCCTATGTAGGATGATTTAGTTGAACTTGCTTGCATTTGATTTGTTGAGGGGCCAAAAGGGAGATTTTAATTGAAGTTTAAATCTTAATACTTTAAGATTGGTTTTAGAGATTGTATTTTATGATTTGATTGATTATTTTGTTGGTTGTAAATTAAAAGAAAAAGGTAGATTGGGTAATTTATTATCAATTAAGGTTTGACTTAAATCAATTAAGAAATTAATTTTAGGTTTTAACACTCCATTAAATTCATTCGTGGCGTTGTGCCACCAGGCTCGAGGAACCAGGCCTCCTTAGGACACTTAGCCCCGCAGCCCGGAGTAGTCCATCCAATAAACTTCATCTTTGGAGTGGTTGTTATGTATTAAAGGGTTTGTTGATTGATTTTATATGATTTATCTAGGGTTTGATCTTTAGAGGTCTTTTATCTTAAGAGATTTTAGTTTATATTTAATCTCCTAATTAGATCTACAGCTTTTAAAATTTAGATAGGTTAAGTGTTTATTATTAGATTAGTTATATTTGATTTTAGGTGTATGTTTTAAGCTTACAGTTTAATGATTACAAATGTTAATTATAATTTGATTAAGAATTAAATATTTTATCAATACATTTTAAGAGTTAAGTTATAAATGATTGGTTGATTATTACCGGATTAAAGAGAGAAAAGGCTAAACCTAGGAAGACGTGTCGCTAAGTTTAGTTTTGATGTCTCTACCCTACAGGGAGCATGCACCCTAAGTCTAAGTTATCTAAGACTCGGTCCATAATTTTTTGTCCTTATGTGTCACTAAAGTTGTAGGGATAAAAGGAGGTTTTGTTTTCTAACCCTTAGGATTTTCGTACGTGTGTCACTAAACTTAAGGATGTATAGCAAAGCAGTAGAAAGAAAAAGAATAAAAATCAGAAATAAAAGGGATGTAGGCATTGTTGTTATCGGGCACACTTCTGTGAAGTCAAGTGTACCCTAAAGCAACATCAACAATGCCCTTTAATGTCCCCACGATCCAAATGAGGCACTTGATATATTTGGGACCTCTACCTACCACACACTTTAAACAAAGCCTACAATAACTAGGGGAAACAAATTCTCTTTGGTTTTATATTCATCCAAACATTCTTTTCATCTTTAAAGGCTAACACAAAATGGAGGAAATCCAAATGAGCAAGGATCGATCAAAGAAACTACAAAAAAAATACTAAAGACCTTCCAACTTAAAGCTCCCTAAAGTCTCAAACCCCAAATTTCATTCTTTAGAAACTAATGTGATTCAATAAGAAATCAATTCATGCACTAACCATCAGCTTGCTCTAAGAAAAACTACTAAGGGACTTTATTACACTAATCAAATCACTAAATTATAAGCCTCAAAATTCTCCATGAAAATCTCTAAATTAAATGCCACACAAAACCTTACACAAATTATCTACCAAAAATCCTTCTTTTCGTTTTCGACCCAAAACTCTACAAAAAGACCCACAATCAAGTGCCTCTTCTTTCATTTGGCATGGGGTAGAAAACAAACTAAAGCTTTCCAACGAGAAGGTTTTATAAAAAAAACCCCTCATTGTAGAGCCCTTATCATAAAACATTCGCAAAAACTTTCGATAAAGCTTCTCGATGCAAAACAACTAGCCAAGCTTTTCATTATAATAAAATATTCGCAAAAACTTATAATAAAATTTTCCAATGTAAAATAGATCTAAAACCAATTATAAATCTTTTTAACAAAAAGCAAATCAAAGCCTTTTCTAACATGAGGCAACCTATGAAACTTTCAACATAAAGCAAACATTTTTTGTATTTGAACCATATGCTCTTAAAAGAATGGGAACATGATGCATAAAAAAAAAATGACGATGTTCATAAGTCTTACTTTTAATATCAAATACACGACCAAAGCTTGTCAAGAGCTCAAACACTAACCTATTTTTTTCAAAATCATAAGAAGAGAGTCCATATGCATAAGACGAAAGACACTAATATACATCAATTTTCATCAATCATGATTCACTAAGTATCTAAAGTTCTCTTCTATATGAAAGGTATACAGATGATCAATATTTCACTCTAAGCAAAACTTCATCACGGTTTATGATAGAAAAATAATAGGAATATCATACCTCTTCTAAACAATCAATCTATTAAAGGAATAGTCTCCCCTTTTTTTAGCAAAGGCATCACAAAGAGAACCCATTAACTATAAAACTGAAAGGTATCCACAAACAATCCAAGCTTAACATGAAAATATTTGCTAAACAATGCTATCAAATTCATTACCAAGACGATTTAATAAGGGAATTCAAATCAATGCACCCGAGACTCATATTAAGGCTTAGGAGATGTGTTAAAGTAATAATGATAATCTTAAATAAATAAATAATGAATGCCATCATGACTATCTTAACATGGCTCAAATTCCACTAAATGCTAAATGATATATATAGAAAAATTAATACATGGACATTGGATCAGGTACATGTAATAATTGCTAGCCATAAATGGTGATTTACATGAATTAAATGGTATAGAGAAATTCTGCTCCAAAACTTGGCTTCTAGGCCACTGCATACAACCGGGAAAACTTAGATATGAATTTTCTAATTTGATAAAGACCTATATCATTATCTGGAAATAACATCTCTTACAAAAAAAACGTGTTTTCTAAGTAATTTTGATAACAATTCACAAAAGAAATATTGGATTAGAACAACGACAAAATCAAATTTTATGACCTCATTATAGTCGTTTTGAAAAAAAAAAAAAAACAATTGATTCATTAATCTTGAGAAAGAAATAATAATAACTGATTTTTAACAGCTCGTCTTAAGGAATA